CTTCTCTTTTTACAGCATTACCTATATATTGAGTTATTTATTTTCCTACAATCAGTACAGTAAGAAAGTATCAAAGAAAGAAATCGATTAACGTTAATCGATTAATATTAAATCAATTAAAAATTTATTTCGTATAAATCGATCGTTCCATATTTCCATATTTCGTGCAACAATTTCAATGGTTATTCTAAGCCAAATGTTCTTATTTCCGCGTCGCAACATTACCAAATTATCAACAGTGAATTTTTCTATTAGTTCAACAATGCGAGCAAATTAATTGAAAGTAGTATTTTTAGGATGACGCAAAAAGTTGCAACAGTTTCTAGTACTTTTTGCAAAAACTGAAATAGTTTTCAGTACTTTTTAACGAGCAGGTGCGAAGTGAAACGTCATAGCGAATTGATTTTCAGCGCTACAATGATCGAAGACTCGATTGAGGCAATGCACCGCCTTGCATTGTCATTCGAACGATCCTTATCCCATGCAATTGACATTTATTAAAAATGTCGCAACCACGTGCATACCAACTCCCATGTAACATAATAGCTGAACTTCCTGTTGCAGAAACGAGCAACAGAAGACAAGCTTAATGTGAATCGTGCGTTTGGAATATTGTACAATTTGTACATTTATTTGTTTCTTTGTTCTTTGTTTAATCTTATATATCATATATTACCTTTTTTTCAATTAATTTATATCATTCAATTCCGTTTCGCAACATTGTGATTACGAAAGGGAATTTGAAGGATTTGCATGGTATTTTTTCCGTCATTATTTCCCCTTTCGCTTAAATTTTACAATTTTATAAAATCGAAAGAAATTGTGCTGTTAGTGCTACTGCGATCAATTATTTCTTTTTTTTTTTATTTTTTCTGACCGTGCCTGATGTGGTTTTTGATTTGTATAGTGGATTATTAAAAAGTATATATTTTTTAATACGTTTTCTATATATCTTTCGATAAAAAAATATGGAAATTAGTTTACGTTGTCTAATAGTGTCGCGTTTATGAAATTTTTACGTATTATTTTACAGTTTGGTTTTTAACGGATTAATCTGGGGATTGTAACACGTACGTATAGAATATTTAAGAAAATATATACATTTTGATTTCGATATTCAAAATTGCGTTTCTACGATTAATTACATTGTTAAATATATATTCGTTACTTGTTACTATTATTGTTTATTTGAATCTGATACTTGATATTCTCGCTTGGATCCTTAGCAAAAAGGATTCTCCTTTTAAATAAATATTTATACATTTATACAGAATACAATGTTTATACGTAATATTTATACATAATACAATGTTGTATTATACTAAATCACACCTCATCAATTTCTTATGATTGAGTAGAATTAGAGTAGAATTAGATATAAATATTTACAGTATCCGAATGCAAGGTAAAAATGTAAATAAAAGATTCGTAACTAAGTTTTGATTAATTTATATAGGTAATAATAATTTCATTTTACAATATATTACACCTATATGCTTTCATATGCATATCATGCCCTCTAAACCACCATTTCTAATTTTATTTTATTAACGTTTTTTTATTTTTATTTTATATTTTTGATTTTATTTCATTTTCTTAACGTAAATAATAAATAAATAATCAAAAATTATTTCGGGGTATTAAAGGAAGTTATTGATAATTATTGATAAAACACGTTGATGTTAATGCACTAAAAGATATTATTTATTAATTATTAGATTATGGATGTGTATGCATTTATGGAAAATTTCGTTTAGAAGAATATACAAAATACAAATAGTATGCAAGAATATACGAAATATTTACAGTAAAGTACTTATTGTAAAATTTACAGAATTGAAAAGGTCTCTATTTACTTAAATTCTATTTCTTTAATGAAATCTATAAAAGTCTAAATTTTCATCAATATTAATTACTGTATTAATGTACATTTTGACAATTTTTTTCAATTAGTAGAAATTGATCTACGCAATATGAATACTATATTAATATCTAAAATACGTGTTATGTATATACATAGGAGCAAAAAATTTTCATCGTGGTTGCTTTCTGGACTTATTCGAAGTACATACATACTTAATTTCGAGATATTAAGATTCCTGGCCGAATAGCTTAACGATAACATGCAATTACTATTATTAAGTTTAATTCGGGACTTGTGATCCTCGATTATTACAACTGCCTTGTAATCATTCCACTCGTATGCGGTCATGGTTATTAAAAAGTTGTTTCATTCTTTGGGATTATAGTAATTAATTTCCGTCTCCTTTTTCATCTTATCTTTTGTTAATAATAGTTTATTTCTTGTTTAACTTCATTTCCAATATCTCAACGTAGAAAAAATATGTATAAACCAGGCAAATCGAAATTTGAATCGATACAAAAAGGCTCGTAAATAGATTCGCATTAAGGAAAATGTAAAAGACAGAGAAAAAAGCGGAGAAGAAACGTTGAAAGTAAATATACGAATTTAAGAAAATAAAATTATATTAATTTGATTAATCATTGTCAACAAATTATATCGTAACAGTGATTTAGTTCTTCGATTTCACTATGAAAAATATAATTTACTTAAACCAACAAAGCGGAGGAAGGAAGAGATGTTGGTCGTTTTAAAAAGCCCTAAATGCTACTTTAATCAATTATTATCATAAACTTTTACAGCAATGATTACTTTAAACAGTATATACATAACTGTATACTTTTTATATACTTCCTCCAAAAATTTCAAATAGAGGAATATTTTATAGAAAAGTAGAGGAAATAGAAAATGGTAAAGACGTAAACGATTAAGCCGATAAAAACTTTTAACGATAAAAATATTCTAAGGAAATATAGTCTTCGAAAGTTAATGTTACAATCTATTAACAGATGCCGACAACGATAAACTTTCTCTTATAAATTTCTCTCCTTTAAACGTATAATACCTAATCGTAGATTTCTGATGCATCGACTATTATTAAGAAGTAGGAAGGCATTCCTATACATCGAAGTTTTAATCATGATCCCAAATCTTTCGATCGAGTCGAAATTTACGTGTTTCTAAAAATTTCTAGATATTTAAAAAAATATTTGAATCTAAAGATTTAAAAAATGTATCGATCATCGGACTTAAATTCCAAAAATAAATCCTACAGAATTTTATTAAGGAAACTCATTCTCGATATTAATTAAAAACAATTTAAGAAGCATTTAAAAATTATATAAAATTTATAATAATTTAGAAACGCATATAGAATTTATAAAATTTATAAAAATCCATGAACTAAAAAATTTTCAGAAAAATAATATATTAATTCGAAAGAACACCGTGACAAATAACGCGTGGCATTCAGCAACCGAAGGATCTAGAAGCATATTACATCACAAGACAGAGTTAAGACCTTAACCTTTTCCTTACTACGAGTTACACCCTTCGCATTCAGCTAGCGTTGAATAATGAAAGACTATAGTCACCTTTAACAGAGTAAATGTTAAAATCAGTAGCAACAAAAATGAAGTTTCTTAGCCCAATGTCTAGTTTCCTTTTCTATATAGGAATTCTACGTAAGAAATAGTTTCCGATATTACGTAAAGATCCAGGTTACGTATCCAAACCATAGATCAACATTGAATTCTAGTTTACTTTTCTTGTAGCAGTTCAGATTTCTACATAACTCGATAAAGTTTTCGACAAAGTTCGCCGATCTAGATGGGCAAATATAAATTAAAGATTGAAAATTTAAAATATTAAAAAGCGAAAATTATCGGTAAAAATATACCAAGATCAACTAAGATCTTTAATCACGATAATTGCAATAGTTTCGGGATATAATTTCTTGCACAACTGAGATAAATACAAAATCTGATTAAAACGACTGTGTTTAGAAGATTTTATTATAAATTTTCAATTCTTTATAAATATGTATAATAACGTGTTTTGTCCCTACTTCTTTAAAACATTAGCAACTCTGTCGCATTTTGCTATCATTAAAAATTTGTAAGACTGAAGATAGAATAAAGGAATCATTGTTGATTTAAACAAAAGATGCAAAAATTCAAAGAGCGCAGCAAGTTTGATATTTTAGAACGTACAAATTCTTCTATTACAGTATAGAATTTCCTCAAATTGTAGAATTTATAATATTATTTGTACGCGTTCTCCTCTGATCTGAGTAAGGAACTTTTAAGATAGAAGAAACTAAAACAAGCAACGAAATGTTTACAACATATGAATATCATCGACCATTGATAAGTAACAATCCAGATAAATAATAGATCAAAAATTACTATTTTTCATTGAATTCTCTTAACTGTAGCCGCAGTAGAGCACCGATATTACGGACACGAATCTTACCCCGTATCTCTTCCACTTTCTCTATTTTTACTTGCAGATCACTAAAAACCAAGAAATTGCCGAGAATTGTCGGCACAGAATCAAATCAATCGATTTGTATCGAGCGAACCGAGAAATGCCCGTTTAATCTCAAACTACACGCTTCGCTATACAGGGTGGTTGGTAACTGGTGGTACAAGCGGAAAGGGGGTGATTCTACGCGAAAAAAGAAGTCGAAAATATAGAATAAACGTCTCGTTATAACGGATCTCACTGTGGATCGTTGTCTCGATGGAAAAATTAAAAAAAAAAAAATTTCTATTTACCAACCACCAGTTACCAACCACCCTGTATAATGGTAATGGCTCTGCGTACCCGGTTAAAGAAATGGAATGAAAATGGCAATTTGTTTCGTCTAAATATCTTAAGTACTGTACTCTAAATATTTTACATATTTATACATGTTATACGTAGAGCATTTCACTTTTAAATTCCATAAAGAACTCACAGACATCCTTAGTGTAATTACAAACGTAATTAGAATGAAAAGCAAGCTTTACAGCCGGAAGCCTTCGATTCCCACGGTAATCCGGCGCGCGCGTTAGCCGCGATTTACCTAGCGCGTAAGGATCGCTGATCGCTCGTTGAGCAATTTTCGGGGTGTTCCACGGTAGAAAGAACGACGGCTATTCCACGGAGAGAGGGTCGGGAAGGTAGAGGGGTGATCATCGGTGTTACACCTTGATGCAAAGGAAGAAAGAGAGACGGAGAAAGGCGCGAGGAGAGTAGTAGTCGCGAACTGTGCCGTGCGAGCCAACACGCTCCAGTCACCGATCGGATGTACGAGAAGCCGGTCGTACAAGAGTATCACAAGTCGAACTCACTTTGCACAAGTGTCTTTTGCCTTTTCGTTCCTAGTGTCTGACCGCGATCTGGACCAGGTGTAACCGTAACATATAAGTGCGTGACGTTCGATCAGTGAAGTGTGTTACGATCCCTTGCGGCGGATCATGTGATGACAAGGAGGAACTGCGACGAGCTACGTCGACCTGGTACGTTCATTCGCGAGTCTTCTGCGACCTCGTCTGCAACCTACGAGCGCACAGTGTTCTGGAACGCGACATTTCGTCGCTAGAATTCAATTTTCCAATTTTAACATTCGAAAAAAAAAAGATGCTTTTCCATTAGCTGACAATCCGAAACTTCCAAATGCAGCGACAATTTCCATGTTTCTGATGTTGTCGTGTTTTGACGAATCGTTTGACGGGTCGTTCACCGGATAGTGAGAGATTCTTCTGACGAAGAAATGCTTCGTTTGCGAAGATTGGGCGATTTTATCCGAGGCTGAGTTCGAAGGTGACAGAATCAGAGGTGCGATAGTTAATTTGGTGAAGAAAGAGATTTGATTGGGGATGATTTGGAGGGTTCTTCTGACAGAGAAAATGGAGTAGAATTGTCGCTCACTTTAAAAGAGGAAATTGTAAAATAGAAGAGATTTCTGATCTTTAGGGACGTTTCAAGCCAAGAAATTAGATCGTGTCAACTTTTAGTTCTAACTTTTAGACGGTTTAATGGTAAGAGAGATTCTCATTTATAACTTTGATTTCAACAACTACGTAGACTGTTGAATAATAAAGAAAAAGATGTTGTCTTATTGTGATCTAGTGAATTATATTGAAAAGATTTATCATTGGGAAGGTTTTGTTAAGCCAGATAATGGGATCGTGTGAAATGTTAATTTCAACAGGCAGTAAGTTTATGGATTATAAATATGATATTTATTATTTTAGTGAACTGTGAAACGAGAAATTTACAGGTTTGAGAAGTTAATAAAGTTATTAATAATTGACGAATTCTTGTTGAAGTAAACTACTATAAGAAGGTTTAGTGTGTTATTGTATGAAATATAATTTACTGACGAAAATTGTTGTAAGGAAATTTTAATGAGCCACTAATAATTAGATTAGATAGAGTTTTGTGAAATTAAGAAACAATAAATACCCTGTTCAATATATTAATTTTGACAGCGTGATAGATTCACAGTAGAAAACGTTCGTAAGCCGACATAGAAAGTATTCCATGTTTGAAATGATCTGAAGAAGTTATTCGGCTGTAAGATTTGATTTTGTGATATAATAAATTAATATAAATGTTTAATGAACTGTATCAAGAAAGAAAATGTACAATCGAATCTTTAGAAAATTGAACAGGGATATCGTTATGATCAAAGGATTTTATTTGATCGAGAGATCCTATAAGATTTCAATTTTCAGATATCTTGTAACTTTGAAGATAAGAGGAATTTATTATATTATTTAGAGAAAGTTTGTCATGAATTTTTATGAAAATAATTTACCTTCAAAATCTTCAAGGGAAGAGATAACACAACCGTAGATAATTGATAAATGTTTAAGCTAAGTAACAAGATCGCGTGAGATATTCGAGATATAGCAGGTTTGCTGATCGAAGAAAGTTTCTTAAATCGAGGAAAGATCTTTATCGAGTTTAAAAGACAAGATTTATTGTTGGTGGATCCTCGGTAATGGAAAAGGTAATTTAAGAATAGTGGATTTGGTTCTGGTACAATTTTCCTTATAATTTGGTGAAAGGTCTGTATAAATTATTCTGCGAAAGATACGTATCTATGTATGAATAATTTATTATAGTTCGACAATAAACTACGCGAAATGACTTGAAACATAATTGCTTAGACCATTGGACAATCTTCTTTTTTTCTGCGATAATTTAGTAAAAAATGTGCGTATGCTATTCTTAGAAGAATCCTTAATTGCGTATGAATCATTTTCTTCAACTAAACAATGAGATTATATGTAAAAATGGTTTGAAGTATAATTTGAACGACTTTTCGCCTAATTAGATGGCAGATCTGTGTAAAATATTTTAGACTAGATTTACACTTGTACGCAAATCATTTTCTACGCGTGATAAATACTCCTAATAAATTTGCAAAGCCAGTTTCTTTTTCGTACTTTACTGAAAGAGTTACATGAATATGTGAAGGACGATTATAATGAAAATCTTACTCTTTCAATGAAAATTTCCGTTCAACCTTTTTATTAAATTTCATTTCAATGTTACCCCTAAATTTCGAACTTCTGTGAAAGTTATGTTTGAATTGATATCTATCTCCATTACATTTTTCGAAGTTAAATAATAATATGTTGGAATATATATCTCATCGTGCAAAATTTATTTATTTTTTAAGACGATAATATACTAAACTACATATTTTATCACGCAACATTTACTTGCTTCTTAAAACATTACAATGGGGAATACAGGTTGTCGAATAAAAAATTTGTTTTCTCCCTTTGGATTAATACAAAAATTCAAAGATGAATACAAAAATATTCTACTGCTTAAAGGTATCTTACAAACTTTTAATCAAACATTGTAATTGCTAAAATTGTTACAACGAATCGATCATTCCCAAAAATTATAAAACTCAATCTATAATCTCAACTAAGTGGCTAATAAGTTATTATAGTGGTTGATGCGACTGTAAAGAATCAATGAAAAAGTTGCAACAACCTAATTTAGGAAAAGCAATAAAATAACGTAACAATTTTCAAATTCATGTAATTCAATGCAAAAATACTAATCAGAGTTATAAAATAATTTATATCAATTTAATGTTGTATTACAAACACTCCCATATACAGGGTGGTTGGTAACTGGTGATACAAGCGGAAAGGGGGTGATTCTATGCGAAAAAAGAAGTCGAAAATATAGAATAAAAATTTTTTTTTAATTTTTCCATCGAGACAACGATCTACAGTGAGATCCGTTATAATAAGACGTGAAAAAGTGCACGCGTACCGAGCGAAAATTCAAAGTCGATTTTCTTGAAAACAAAGCCTCGAAAGAAAAATTTTTATTCTCTATTTTCGATTTCTTTTTTCGCGTAGAATCATCCCCTTTCCGCTTGCACCACCAGTTACCTGCCACCCTGTATATTATAAACAATTCTAATCCTCTGTGCAGAAAACATTCGAAACTTGTAGGCACCTGTTACGAGCATAGTATGTATGTTGTGCGAAACATTATGAAATTTCATTAGCACTGTTATGAAACTCGACTATCATGACCATATTGGTAGAGTTTGAAACAATTCTGGGAATATACGTATACGTGTACATAGAAATGACAAGATATTTAGTACAATTACGATATTATATCTCGCAGAGAGCACAAAACTATTTATTCTACTATAATGCTTAATTACTTTTGTACGCTTAAGATGACTAATTGTTATACTAAATATATGCTTCAATATGCGTAAATATCTTGTAGCTTGCTTATACGCGTTTTCAGACTGCTTTCTTCTAGTCGTATCTCAGTATCTTATTGCAGTCTTAATAAAATTTCAAAGTGTCTTATATAAGACACGCGATACGGACGTAAATTGTATATTGTAATTGTAATTGTATATAGACGTACCATTGCATATTATTATCACAGATCGACCAAAGTATCCCGACACTTGTAACTTGTATAAGCTAATTTTAATATACAATGGGAAACTTCCTTTTTTGTTTCGATTTCAATTTCTCTTTGTCAGAGCCTCGATCCAATCTCATCAAATATTCCACTGCATTCCGTGCAAATAATTACACCGCAATTACATACGAGTATTCCGCATTCAAATTAATGCAACGACTCAATCCAATAGTGGATTGTGCCATCCGTCAGCATAAGGCAAAACAAGCGCATAGCTAACAATGTACATAACTGTAAAGCTGTGCGTTTACGTGTGAAAGTTCTTGTTCGCGTCGTCCGATGATATTATGGCCACGAACAGGTGAAAAACCACTACTCTGTTGACCGATTCATATCCCACCGCTTGTAACAATTGCACCATTTAGCAGCGAGGCCTCTGTTGCGTGCTTGTTCGCAACTCATCGTGCTTGCGCCGAGGATCCTTTTCCGGTCAGAAATTTACCGTACACACCGCCGCCGGTTTCGTCTACCGTGAAATATCCATCGTGGAACAACGTCGTTCAACGACGCAACGTTTTCTAAAATTTTACGAATGAATTTACGCGCGTATTATGCCAAAAGCGTTAAGTAGGTTGGAAACAGTTAATTGGTTAATTAATCACGTGAAATACGGAAGTATGGTTGTGGGCGAATTGTGTGAATAGAGAATATTTAAATGTTACCTGGTTGATAGTAAAATTAGTTTGTAAGAGAGAGTTGTTCGACGGATACGGGCCACGTAAATTGTTCGCTTTTGTTATTGAATATCAGACATTTAACAGCAAATGCGTGAAATAAATAAGAGCACGATAATTGAATAGATAAAGAAGTAGTGAACATTGATATAAACACAACAGAAATTGCATCTTGCGTTTCGTCCTGTATATATGTTCAAAAGATCGATATTATTACTAGTCGTATTTTAAAAATTCGTATTTAAATTTAAATTCAGAACTCGAAAAACTACAAAGATACAACATGTTAAGATAGTATACTATATATTATGTATATATATATATATATATAAAATTTTTATTTTAATGCAAACTTTAATATATTAACAACAATTGCTATAGTAATACATCTTGTCACGACTGATGAAAATTCTTTCCAAACAAAAATTAAAACTGTCATATCATGTACAGTAAAGTGCAATATTGTTAAAATTTTCGAATAATTTTCGTTAATAATCATTAATTAAATTCATCTTCTTTTTCTCCTTCTCCCACGTCTACGTTTTACGTTGCATCGACTGCGAGTTTAAACTAGTGACGATGTTGTATATATTTGTTTCCTCAAAGTAGCGTATTGTATTCGTTGTGAAATTTCTTGGATATTTTATCAAATTTCGTTATTCTTTATTACTGTGCAGATAAAATAGAGGAAAAAGTGAAAAAATAATATTTCAAATAGACTGGGATTAGTAAAATCGTATTTTCAAGACTCGAATAAATAAGTTGCAAAATCGTAATCCATTTACATGGAAACCGATAAATTGAATAAAAAAATGTTTTATAATTCTAATTTCATCTCTTCTTTCGTCTATGGAAGAAGGTCGAATTCATGTTACTTCAAGGTCGCTGCACATGACGAAGTATAGAATTTTTCCGGGTTGATCGTCTTAACTGTACTTGATTTACAGACATTGAGCACTGCGTGGTATTTTTCTTAGCCAACAAACGTAAGAGGATCGATTTACGATGCGTTTCAGGTAACAGCGACGCCGAGTTTATTGAGCTATCGCCAGAGACGATGTTGAAAAACGAAAGGACGCGTTCCATTGCGTTTTATTAAGTAATATCACGCAATATCGTTGTTTCGCTTGCCGAGAAAGTTTTTCAGCTTGTCTCAATTATTCTTTATCTCTCTTTTATTAAAATACGAGCCATACTTAGCACTATTATTGCCTTTGAATTTTTATATTTGATTTCTGTGCCATCTCACGCTTTCAGTTTGACAAAACAAGAAGACGTTTAACACTAATTATCAGCGCAAACCGATCAGGTCAAACCGATCTCAAAGTTTAATTTAAAATTGCACGTTCATTGTTATTTCTTTTGTTCATTTAACTTTGTGTAAATTCTTATATTAAGAAAAACTGAGAAACCGATGAATCAGATAACGTAAGAATTTACATAAAGTTAGATGAACAAAAGAAATGACAATGAACGTACAATTTCAGATTAAACATTGAATATTGGTAATGTTAATGTTGTAAACAAATTTGTAATAAAAATTTGTAATGAAAAATCGTGACGATTATTTTATCTTTTCTTTAACCTTGTAAATATCTAACGAAATACGATTGGTTTAAAAATGATTCGATTACATTATAATTTGTATTGATAGCAATGATCATGATAATGATAACAGTGACTGCATTGACATTCCATCGACTGCAAGATTATTAGCGACTAATTTAGATTGAACAACGTATATTTATTAAATGATAATATTATCATATTAATTGTTAAAATCAGTTATTTTTATTGCAATAAAACTTACTACCTGGTACGATCTTCGATCATTAATTGTACACTCTGTTTTAAATTTAAACAATACATTACTTGTATGTGAACACAATATATTAGTTTTAATAAATTTATATTAATTTGTATTTATATTAATTACTAATTTATATTATATTCTTATGTATATATCTTATCTTAGTTTTTAAAACTCTTAGACTTTAGTCTTGTACTTTTAAATATATGTAATATGTTTCTTATATTATTTTGTATATCTTATAATGTCTTATCTTACTCTTGTAATTCTTTAAGTTTTCCTTAAGCAGGATAACTATGATTCTAAAAATATTTCTACTTTTTTGAGCAAAAGGCATTGAACTTCACACGTACTTGGCTTTATAACGATAGCACAAATAACAAAATATGAAAGTAAAAATAATGGAAATAATACATTATCAAAGTAAATAAAACAAATATATCCTTTGCTAGAAATGAGATTAGGAGATCGTTTAAAAAAAATGTTGTGTTTGTATAATAAAATAAAATGATTCGCAATTGTTAATTCATTCATGGATAAGTTATTTTAATTGACTTAAATGTTGAGAATGTTTGCATGCAAGTTAAAGATGAAATAGAAATATTTGAATAACTTTTTTTTTACAACTAAATACGAAGATAGCTCTAATTATTACCAGCGAATACAAAGATGGAAAAAATCTGTCTAATGTATCAAAAATAAAATTGGAATATCGGAGAAAAAAATTTTTTTCTCCACTATATATGATTCTAGAATCATCTACTTTGCAGCAATTATTCCGTTGAAACATGAATTATTAATTTTATAAACAACGAGTTAATAGTGCAAGAGAAATATCTGAAAGATCTCTGAAGTTCTAATTAAGTTCTATTAAAGTTCTAATAAAAAAGACAGAGAAAAATTTATATTTCAAAACTAAATTTTAAAAAAGAGGCAAAACAATTAGATATTTCAAATTAGACTAAAAAGATTGGCCTAGTATGAGTAATTTAATTTATATTATTAATCGAACGATTATCTAATTCGATATGATAAAGCTGTATTCCTGTTTAGATTTTCTTCGTGTGTATATGTATATATAACTAATTCCATTATTCCAGATTTACGAGAATTATCGATTCTAGAATTAACAAATTCTTGGAATGAAATTATTATAGTTGTTTTAACGAACTGTGCATCAAAAAATTGCTTAGGTAAACTAGAGGACGTTTCTAGCAGCTGCCACGATACTTTTCTTCGTATAGGAAAATTAACCGAATATTCTGGTTATTCTAATAATAAGATTTTATTTCTATAAATCTTCTTAACATTGAATATACGTGGTATATAACAAATTTACTCTTCCGTAATATATCGTTAATTGACAATAGGATAAAATTTAATAAGCGATATTAATTCGTCAAATCCAAACTTCAAATAAAAGATACTTCATATGGAGCAATTTAATATTTTATATTAAAGTTCCTTTTAAATAGCAACTTAATGAAAATGAATTTACCATGTTTTCTTTTATTTCGTTGTACACTCTATATATTTTGTTCTTATAATTTTCTGTATACGAGATCATTTGTCGTTGCTGATGGAAACCAAGTTGATTTCACTATCTCGTTCTTTGCTGTTTTATACTGAAAGTATATTTCAATAAAATACTACGCCATGATATAACTAACCCTCGGTAGAAATCGAACGTTCCTCTTACCGCAACTTCGATACTGTTGAATGATTATCAACACAGTTGTTGCTTGCTTAATTTACAGATCATTGGGATTCAACGGAGTGTGTTAACCGGATCAGCGACCTCGGCGTCTATTGACCTTTACCTGATCGCAGGATACAAAGTGTCGCTTCGAAGCAAAACCAATCAGAAAAAGCGACGATTCCTCCAAAAATGTTATTTTAATCCTAACTCTTATACAATTTATAATAAATGATTATTAAAATAAAACTAACAAGAGAAATATAGTAGCTGTTCCTAGATTGTTTTAAACAAATATACGAGATATAAAAGATCAAATAAAATACGAATATTTTATACAAGGCACAAAGAAAAATAATAGAAGAAAGAAAAAGAGAAAAAGAGAGAGTTAAATAAAAAAGGAAGCTCATGAGAGACAAGAGCAAATAACTAAACGTTCCTGGAACGCTGCATGGTAAAGAAACAGGAAGGAACAGGTGTGTATAGTGATGCATTAAAACGCCTCTAACGGGAGAAAGAAGAAGAAGCATGGAGAACGCGACGATTGCGCTTGATTCGACGGTCAGAAGTCAGGATTCGAGTAATTCGAAGGACTCGAAGGAGTCGTGCGCATCGGATTTGAAGCCGGAGAGTTGTTTGGAGTCGAAGCACTCGAAGGAGATCCTTATCTCTGAGAAACAGCAACGACAACAACAACCACGAACACAGCAACATCCGGATGATCGACAGAAACTGAGGAGTACGGAGCCTAAAGATGATTCGAATCTTCTGATGTTCACTTCTTGCGGACAGTTGTTACTTGGTAAGTCTATCTTTGACACATTTATGGATAATTATTTCAAAAATTATTTCATATTTCATATATGAAATAATATAATAATATAAAAAAATATTCGCACACCTATAGACACGTTTAAGAATATGTGTGTGTTATATACTATAGTTATACGTGCTATACGAAACATTTTGAATTTTTAATTAGTATTGGCTATAAATGGCAGACTCGCTTGTCATGATTATATTCGTAAAATTTGAAACAAACCTGGGAATATACAGGGTGGTCGGTAAATGGTGGTACAAACATCCTTTGACGCGTTTATCGACAAAAAACCTTTTTAATGTGAGAACATAAACCTGATTGAAACGCCACAGTACAGCATATTATACAGGGTGGTTGGTAACTGCTGGTACAAGCGGAAAAGGGGTGATTCTGAAGTCGAAAATATAGAATAACAATTTTTCGTTTGAGGCTTTGTTTTCGAGATAATCGACTTTGAATTTGCACTCGGTACGCGTGCGGTACGTTATAACGGATCTCACTGTAGGTCATTGTCTCGATGGAAAAATTAAAAAAAAAATTGTTTTTCTATATTTTCGACTTCTTTTTTCGCGTAGAATCACCCCCTTTCCGCTTGTACCACCAGTTACCAACCACCCTGTATATGTGACAATTAAATGATATTTTTTAATATGTTGCCAAGGTCATCACCTTGCGTAGTTTTGTAAAGGTTTCATATAGTTGCGGGTCACCGCTTATTAAAAAGTTATTATCAAAAAGAGTTTGTTTTAAACTTATTTTGTATTTTGATATTGTAGTATGTGTAGATGTCTATGTGAAGGGGACGTTGGTACGTGAAGTTTTTATTATGTTATTATTTAGAATAATAAATTAATATACAGCCGTATACGTGAGTCGTTAGTACAAAGTATAAATCGCAGAATAAAATCGCGGAATAAATACTCGTAAATGCTCGTCGCGTAACTCGGTAGACACTCGAAGATATTGTAGGTACTGTTAGATACTCGTGATACTCGCAGATACTCAGAGATACTGTGTAGGTATTGTACGATACTGTGTGATACTGTGTGTCGTTTTATACTGGTCGGAGAGAAGTCGGAAAATTCGAATTCGTCTTGATTCGACGGTTGCACGTAGCGGTGACATTGTTTTACCCGCAGTTTGTTTATCATTACATTTCTGCATCAAGGCTGAGTCAATGTCTTGAGGCAAAACAACAGCATGAGTCGCTCTCGACTCGCGTCCTTTGACTCCTGTGCCACTACATATCAATAAGTAAAAGGATAGACTCAAAAAATGTCTAATCTGACCCGACCCAAATCTAATTTTAAGTTAATTCGAAATGAGTTTAAGTTAGATCTGGGTCAAATCTAGATTACCTGGGTTACCTGGGAAAAAAGGTCTCGGTTATTCACGCTCTATTAAATATAAATGGTATGCGGAAAATTACGTACTTTTGTGTAAACTTTTTTTAATAATAATCTTTTAATGATTAACAGTCCCCATCTTAACAACATATCAAAACGTTATCGACATCGGAAGTCGCTTCCTGTTTGTGAATACCCGAGTTATAGTTCACAGAGACCATAAAAGTATTTAAACGTTCAATAATATTATCCATTATATCAATAAGCGTCAATATTCAGCGGGATCATATTTAATACTTGCTTAAGATAGTTTCATGTTGTATACTAAGTTTTTACTAAATACATGTTCACGATAAATATCTTGTAACTCCTATGTACATTTCTAGATTGGTTTCAAATTTATTCGATATAATACTGTTAGCGGCATCTTATAATGTTAATGATTTTCAACGTACAATATGAACATAACAGTTTGCGATAAGTGTTCAAATATTTTCGTGAAAGCGTATAATTATTCTGGATAAGGTACTAATGTATTATAAACGTAGTTTTACTTTTAAACATTTATTAGTATATCAATGTTTATTTGCAGAGTATGATAAATTTGCAGAAGGCACACTTTTGTGATTGATATCAGAAAGTAACTTCTGGAATTATTGAATTCTGTGATAAGAAAATAGATTGGAACGCGCTACAGAAAAATTTGTTCAATGGTATCAAATATATAATTAGTATCGTATCAAATTAATATTATTTATTATGATATTTTCTGATTATTACTCGAAACAATAGCCTGAAAGCTGTTCTATAACAATCTATAAAATCTCCAAGGTACAAGAAATGTATCTTTAAATCCTATATTGTAACAAGGAACAGAAATAAAACTCGTTATAGTATATACAACTAATTCAATTACATATAAGCATTCCTATACGTTTATTATTCCCTGTCTGTTACATATGCGTACAGAGTGGTTGGTAACTGGTGGCACAAGCAGAAAGGGGGTGATTCTACGCTAAAAAAGAAGTCGAAAATATAGAATAAAAATTTTTTTTTTTTAATTTTTGCATCGAGACAACGATCTACAATGAGATCCGTTATAACGTACCATACGCGTACCGAGCGAAAATTCAAAGTCGATTTTCTCGAAAACAAAGCCTCAAACGAAAAATTTTTATTCTCTATTTTCGACTTCTTTTTTCGCGTAGAATCACCCCCTTTCCACCTGTGCCACCAGTTACCAACCACCCTGTATATTTTATACACAATATGTAATATAAAAATTGATATATTATATATATTATATACTTTGTGCAAAGCAATTTTTAAAATGATACCAGTATATGTACGGTAAAAATTTTTTCCAAAGGATTGTGCAACGTAAGTGACATATGAATAAGATATTAGAGACAAATAATTAAATGACGTGTGTATAGCAAGGAGAAGTAAACATACTTGAGAGGCGTATTTGATATCCAATAGAATCTACGTTTGAATATAATTTTTTATACATGTATTACTTTGATAATTATTCCAAGACTTCTTAAATTAATAATAAAATTAAGTAGATAATAAATTTAATAAACATGTTATTCAGTACTGTTAGATTATCGTTAAAGAGAAGCTGCATACTTTCTACAAAAATGTTAAATTTCCTTCGCTGTATTATATGCAAATTTTACATTAGAAAACCAAATATTTAATTTTATCAGCAATAAAGTGGTAGCTTTTTCTTTTATCAACAGCTCTATCTCAAGTTCTCAAATAAATTTCTGCGATTATTAGCCATTTAGACAAGATAATATTGCTTAGAAAGTTAATTAGACGTTTGTAAATAATGTTAACATCAAAATTTATTAAGAAACGGATAATTAATTCAATATTACATACAGTATATTATAAAATAAAATACAATCAGTAATTTTTTCTAACAAATCTAATTTTCAACAATGACACATTATTTGTGTATTATTTACATACCTGGATAATAACAAGATAACTTTGATAGTCGAAAATCGATTAAAATCTAAATGACTGGAAAAACCTGTTTCATCGGATTAAATCCAATTATGTAATAACATTATAAATTCACAGCAAACGTGTTTGCCAGCCGTTTCAATATCAACAAATAGCGAATTCCAGATTAATTAAACGTGATCCTTAATAGCGATCAGTTATTTAATTTCATGTAAATACACATATAAGTACAGGTTCATTTGTTGCTCATCATCCTTGATGATATAATAATCCATATTGATTGCTACGAAATGAGGAAAAAAGATATCTCGATCGAAAAGTCGGAATATTTTAATGACTGAAATGCAAATAGGGAAAGAGAGAGGGAAGGGAAGAGAGAAAGAGAATCAAAAACAAAATTATAGAAATACAGTACAAAATACAGTTATAAAATTAGTTTAACACGTACTCTACTTAATTTTTAGTTTAATGATACATATTTATATCACTCAATTAGGGAATTATTTGCTGGAAAATCTAGTTCTCAAAATCGTTCGTATCACAGAAATTACACCAGAAATGCTGAAACGTACTGAATATGCTATTTTTTTTTACAATTAATACTTTATTTTGCAAATATCAAACACGGTAATTATTTTAAGTAGTTTTTCTTTATTAGGAGGAATATTTCAAAATGTCTTTTAATCAGATTAATTAATTTTTGAAGTTTCAAATGTTAATACAATCAGCCTGTGGGAAAAATGAATAAATAATTTATAAAAAGAACGAAGTAATCTTCATACGTGTGGATAATTTTTAACAAGCAATTTTTGCATTAATTTTTATTCGTCAGCAGCATTTATTCTCTTAATAATTATTGTTACAAACAGATATTACAATATTTATTTCTTCCTTATGTAATTCTGTACTTATTTAAATAATAATGTAATAAAGAAGATAATAACAACCTGTAGTTTATTTAAATATGAACAATTTATTACAGACAATCGCAAAAGATCCATATTTTTATCAAGTCTAGGACTTTGTTTATCCGAATTGATCACGATATGCTGTCGAATCGAATTTTTCAGAAATATTTTTTATCCCATATATTTCATCATTTTTTCTTATTTTAAATAAGAGGCAGAAGGTCATTTAGTTTGAACTGTTTTATAAATATTAGTATTAAAGAGCACCAAAGCTTTTGAATACGAATGTAATCATTTCTTTAACATTCTGTTCTTGTTTTTCAATTTTCCTTGCAAGCGCCCATCTTTAAATTTTTGAATCCTTGATGTTCTGATCATTGAGTCCGCAATAGCATTAGAAAACATTTACTTTTTGAAATTATCATATAGTACATAAACAAGCAAGTCGAACATGTTATGATGCGGTTTCCACTTTCGCGTAGTATCTTGATTGGTTTGGATTTCTATACATGAAAAATACACGAATTTCCATTGACCGGCCGAGCATACATTTCTCCAAACTGCATAGAAATCGGCGTAAAAGTGAAAACATTTCACTTAGAAAGTCATACTTGTGTAACTCTTTCCGCGGGTTTGCAAACCGTAGAGAATTGCAGCGCTGCAATTCATTGTTATTCGATGTTCTCTGGCGACACTCTAATGAATACAATTATTTCAATGTTCATGTGTACTCTGTTATTTGTATAGAGGACAAAAGTGAATTTCGTTGTAGAAAAAGAGAGTCCTTAAACCAATTTCATATATTTTAAGAAGACACTCATTTTATCTTTCACATTGCATTGTGAATCATAATTGTTTTAAGGATGTTTCAAAAAGTTGATTACTATGTTTTAGAAGGATCAAGTTCTAAAATGAAAATAAACGAACATGACCATTTATATGTATAATTCTTTGCAATAAAAGGTTTCCTAAACTTTTCAAATATCGTAATAATATAGATTGCTTTCTAATTTTGAAGACTATGTTTAAAATTCTCCACATTTAAAAAATTAAAGACAATTTTCTTCTTTAATTTACCTTTAAAATCAGAGTATCTCATATACTTGTACGTGTTTTTTAATTGGTGCCTTAAACTTATGTAATTGTAATCTTATACTTATATAACCCTCTATATGATTTACATTTATACAGGGTGGTTGGTAACTGGTGGTACAAGCGGAAAGGGGGTGATTCTACGCGAAAAAAGAAGTCGAAAATATAGAATAAAAATTTTTCGTTTAAGGCTTTGTTTTCGAGAAAATCGACTTTGAATTTTCGCTCGGTACGCGTGCGGTACGTTATAACGGACCTCACTGTAGATCGTTGTCTCGATGGAAAAATTAAAAAAAAAGAAAAATTTGTATTCTATATTTTCGACTTCTTTTTTCGCGTAGAATC